GCCTGACCACTGGCCAATCAATGTTTTATTTATTGACCAATCAGAGCAATTTGACATACAGACCATCCCACAGCAATTCCTGTTACCACGAGCTCCCTGGAATGAAGTAAGAACTGCCAAGGTGTATGGCCAATGGGAGTGACCGCTCTCAGCCCCAGATGCAGTTCAGAGCTCCCTGCAGAGCCCCGGGGCGAGTGTCCAGTAGTTTCTTTCTTCTCCTTGGATTGTTTCTTGAGCTCTTTGGCTGCCCTTGTTCCCTCCTTCAGCCTACACCTTTGAGTGGCTTTCTGGACACTTCTGCCTTCAAAGAATTGGCCACGAGGTTCAGTGCCGCATGGTGCAATGTGATGTTGGCAGCAGCTGACCCAGTGTGGCCAGTGGCTTGGAGACTGTGTCCTGTCATGTCATCAGATCCCGTCACTCGCCTGTCCTTCAGTGTTGCCCGGGCTGGGATTTGGGGTTCATAGGAAAGCTACTGAGTTGGTTTCATTCCTCCAAAGATGTGGGGATCTGGTAAAAGGTAAGCAGTGCCCGGGTAACCATGACTAATGCTGGAGGACATCCTCCCTCCATCTTCCTGGTACCCTAAACACAGCATCTTCAAGTTATGCCCACGAGCTGTCATCCAGCAGCCTCCTCTGTGGGGAGACACTGCTTTTTCCACTTGTGACTGGCTGATGGATAGCAATCCATGGCTGATCCAGCACCTCACTCCCAAACTAAGGCTTTTATAGCATTTGTGGGATCCTTTGGCAGTAAAGAATGTGACTGAGCACAACCGACAGGCACAGAGTGGGCTGCGAGGGTGACAAGAAGACAGATTGGCACTCTGCTGGTAAATCTCAAATATCTCATTTTTTTTTTCCTCCTGCGGTTTGATTTTGCTTTGTTTCTGAAAACATTAGCATATGAAATTCAATTTGGTGTTCCTCCTCCTTAGATGAGAAGTTAATGAATTTCATTGCTATTTGATCTGGCCACAGGCTATTTCATTAGCTAAATACAACTTCCATTAGTTTTAGTGGCCTGGTGATTATAGCAGATGTAGGCTGGAGTAGGCAGTTAAAATGCTGTCCCCACCCATTCACGAAGGCTTCTGTTTCTTGAGGGAGGTTGTGTGGCCCTGCCAGGTTCATAAAGACAGCCTCACCCTGACTAGACTGTGTCGGGCTGTTCTAGGGTGAGCAAGGGTGTTTCTTTGTGGGAGGCTGTGCCTCCAGGAAAAGGTCTCCTGAGATTTCTGGGACCTGAACCGTCAGACAAGAGCCATCATGGGTCTGGGGAATCCGACAGGATGCAATGAGTGGGTGAATCGGTTCCACGGCCCTTTGTTTGCATAAAGGCAAGGTTTTTTCAGATCCATTACACAACTACATTTAGAATGAAGCCATTCTTTGCTCCTATTGGTAGCTTTAAGACAAATGGAAGAAATAATTGTTTTAACAGGCATATGAATGATATGCTGAAGCCCAGTTTGAGCTACTGCTTTATAGTTTT